GTCGGTTCTATCTGAGCCTCTTTATATCCTTTGGTATAAACTAAGAGGTCAAAAGTATCCGGACACTCTAAAAAATCGAAAAATTATGGCTTGACTTCCACAATCATATCCGAATCTGTTGGGGTTTTGCAAACATTGGAGAGATGGCAGCCAAGATGCTCTCCTCCATCAAATAAGCCCGACTATATCCGTTTATATCAGTTTTACAACTCAGCGCTGTTCATATGGTTACATCTGGTCGTTCATCCAGACAATATTCATGGCAAAGTCCAAACTGTAGTTCGGACGGGACTAGAGCAGATTGTAGAGGTCACTGCCACTGAGTTATTGCCACTTCTACAGATTCCGGTGTTTGTGCACGGCCTAGCAAGTCTGCAGGCGGAAGATCGAAACAGAATCTCCGGGGAGTTCGAAAGAATCGGGGCTTCGGGGCGCTCTGTGGAGTTGAGCGCTTACCAGACTGTGGTTCAGAGATGCTGGAGTGCTCAGGACAGAGGAATTAGAAGAAGCTGGGATTGGACTCGATGATGGAGAAGATCGATCACGACAACCCATGGTGTATTCCCTGTCTCAGCTATGTTACTATTAGCTTTCAATGTACCCGGACTTCATGGAACTGGAAATGGAATTAATGTCTTCTGCCCTCAATTCTGACGTGTTTAGGACCATAGACAGAATTGTGGTGTTAAATAGAAAATCTGATTGATTTACCCTTGATATCATCCAAAGACTTATGTGGAATGAAAAATGCCTCACTGTTCTCCAGAAAGCAGGATTAAAGTCTAGCCCCAGTTCCGGAGTTCCGCAAAGGGCACAAAGGGCACGCAATCTATGAACAGTACAGGTTCTCTGTGATTGAATTGAATTAAAGTGGATGGTCCAGCAACTGCGCAAAGCGCGCTTAAGATAGGTATTGATTCCTAGTATATTCCCAGGCTGGTGCTCTGGCAAATAACCTGCTTTCCCCTCATTCCTACCAGGGTGCTTTGACAGTAGAGTGACTAATGGTAAATTCTCATTCGGGCCTATGATTTGTTCCAGTCTCTGTCTGAGCCCGGTGAATCCTCCATAGTCATCAGCTGCCATTGAAAATAATATCCCTGTATTTGACAGCATCGTGGCATTAATGGACCCAGCACCGTAGCTTGAAAATTGTTCAAAAATCTTTGCTGGGGTAATGCTAACTTCATCAGGCAGCGTGGACAAAGAGCCGTGTTTGGGGAGGCTGAGGTATTCAGTTGAATATCTGAATGGCAATATTCTGAGCGACAGTCTATTTGTTCTATCAGTGGCTACTGGATAGCTATATCAGTACTTGATTAAATATACACCTTCCTGTTTGCCAGATAGCTCGGTTTTTGAAGTAAGAATTGCACTCTGCCCTACGCTGTCGATGCGTTTAAGGAAACCATGGATAAATCTATGAATCTATGCAGACGAGGAGCACAGCCCGTCAATGACCCTATAAATCTCTCTGACATAGGCTTCGGTGTTGTCATTACCCAGAGTGCCTCTACCAGACATGTTGTTCATCACGTAGGCGATAGTCATGCGTCGGTCACGGTCCATGATGACCATTGATCCTCCCCAGCCTCCCCAGAAGCCAATTCGTCCCTCGGGAATCCATGCACAAGTTTGCGGTGCTGGCAGAGCCATGCCCAGACCAAATCGCAGGAAACCACAGGTGACAATATCTGTTCCCTTTATCTGCTCCCTGAGCATTTTCTCAACGGTACTGGCTGAGATGATGCGCTTGTTCTCATCGAGAATGCCATCAAGAGAGACTATAGATCCAATTCTGGCCAATGCACGCGCATTGGAAAATCCATTGTTCGCACCGGACACGGTTTTTCTGAAACCCGGTGTCATAGAAGCCTCAGCGGGAAATGGTGAGCCCGCAATCGCCTTTGCCGTAATACTTTGCGGATCCAGCTCGCCGAACGGCAGGGCTGGAGGTGAGATGATATCCGCTGTGCGTGGCCAATGTTCTTCTGGTACTCCGTACTGAAAGTCGGCTTCCAAGGGACCTGCGATTTCGTCGGCCACGAACCGTTCAAGCGGTCTGCCAGTTATCCGTCGAATGATTTCGCCGACAAGGTGACCTTGATTTGTGAGATGATATCCGCTCCTCTCACCCGGAGTCCACCAGGGGGCCTGAGCAGCAAGCTTCTCGGCAGCCTTTTTCGTGTCATATATTTCTTCTAGAGTTATAGGAAGCTCCCATGCGGGGACCCCAGAAGAGTGACTGAGAATGTGGGCCACTGTAACATTCTCTTTGCCGTTGGCTCCAAACTCCGGCCAGTACGTGGCCACCTTCTCATTCACATCAAGCAGACCACGATCGACAAGAAGGAGAGCTGCTAAGTTGGTGACAACCTTGGAGCACGACCAAACCACTGTAATCGTGTCTTTCTGCCAAGGCCGAGTTCGGGCCACATCTGCGTGGCCACCCCACAGGTCGAGTATATTTTTTCCATCGACATTCACACAGAGGGATGCACCCAGTTCATCCCTTGAGGTGATCTTCTGTTGGAGAAGATCACGCACGGAGTGTAAAGCAGGGTCACAGGTCCCATAAATTTCATTCATTGTGGATTGGAAGTTGCAAAATCAATCAAGATAATAAAGACGAGAGGATATTTCTGCGTGGATAATAAACAAGACATGTCAATTGTTATAAATGAATCAATGCTCAATAGGGGTCTGAAGTTCTAAACTTATGACTGACTGAAACATTGTTGCCTAGTGAGATGCTCGGCGCTTTAGCTCGTAGAGTGTGAAGGAAGTCAGTTAGCAGGCATCAAGCCAGATTGCCAGATCACCCCCTGCTGCTTCAAAACCACCTTATGGTGGTAAGGTATACTGTACTTTACAGTTACTCATTATACACTGAAGCCTTATACATTCTAAACCGCAACACAGCCAAGTGGGGATTGTTTTTGACAGAATCCCATAGGGATTAACGTGGTTTCGGTACAGGCCACGAAGCAGAGGGAGTGTCAGGGAAGACCAAACTCCCGCTTCCAGAACATCTTTAGGTGTATGTGGTATTCCACTGGTTCCGGCGGCAGAGGCGCTAGAGGCTGCTGTAACTCACATGCAACAGTTTCCATAGCAAAGGCAGTGGAGTGGCAACGTGAAGCGCTACAGAAGTGCATATGAACTGTCACCATCCCCTGGGCCGTTTGGATTCAACCGTTCCCTAATCTCCTTGAACGTGATGCGACCTTGCAATAGCACCTATTAGCGGGGATAAGCGCCCTATAGATTTTTGAGCTGGCTTAATAGCTATCAAAGCAGATCATCGCTGTGTTACCGACAACTGTTTGGCTGTGCCACTAATTGCACATCAACATGTCCTATACCCGGTTTGAACCTCTTTTCTTGGCTTCGTCTTTTAGGAAAAACAATATTGTACATATCATAATAAGACTAAGGCCGATACTCCAACGGCCCCTCCGACGCCGCCAGATTACACTGCCGGAACAAACGCACCTCATCATCGCCAAACGACCCAACAACAGAATGCAACACCCCCCGATTGTGAAACAAGACCAGATCGCCCTCCTCCCAGTCATGCGCATAGACATACCGCGGGCTGATCGCCGGCCGCTGCAGGGCATACACAATTTCCCTTACCTTTTTCAAGTCATCAATCACCGTCCCATCATTCAGATGGATCTTCCTCACAGCCGAAGGATGGATCTGCAGCGCCGGCCGCCCCGTAACCGGGTTCTGCCACACCATCGGCAGAATCTGGATCTTATCCTCCTCAACTGGAGGCAGCTCCTCAAGCGGTAATTCGCGGTTCTCGGATACCAGACCCAGACCCGTGGGCCGGGATCGTGCGCGCGACATCCAGACATACCTATACAGTTAGCCAGCCAGCCAAAACTAGTTCTGGTTGAGAAGGGCTTACGGATGAGGGGCATATTCTACCCGACTCCCAACAACAAACTCCTTCTCCTGCGGCGACAACCGCTCGTACATGAGCTCCCCGCTCACGAAGGCCGTCGTGCCTAGCGGGACCTCCATTTCCTCGCCTGACCCGTCATCATACCGCAGCGTTTGCGTCCTCCCATTTGGCACCCTAACCGCCAGCAAGCTCGTCACCTTGGGCGGATGCAGCCCGTACAGCGCCGCGTCAATATGCCACCTATAGAACCGTGTCACGGTTTTATCCTCCTCCTCGGGAACATGAGTCTGATGAAACGTGCGATGATGCGGATGCTTAAGCGTAAAGTTCTCCAACCCCTCGTACGAGTCTATCACCCCGTGCCCGATAATCTGCACCTGGGGCTGATGCGGGATGGTCTTCAGGTCCGGGTGGAGGATTGAGCGCTTTGCATCGATGGTCTTGCCGTGGCCGTAGGAGGTGGCGGCGGGGTCGAAGCGCTTGGTCAGTTCGTATTGGGCTCTTGGAGAGAGGTGCGACTGGTTCTTGATTATGAGGACGAGGTGGGTGTGGAGGGCTGAGGAGATGAGGGAGAAGTGTTTCGGGGTGAGGGTTTCGAGGCAGATGTCTGTTAGGACGGCGCCGAGTTTGGAGGGGTGGGATAAGGGGGTGAGGGTTGGCATTTTGCCCGCTGGACTTTGGACTGGTACTGGAGATGTTTGGCTGGGACGAAGATGCCTTGTTATATATGGTGAAGAACGGATGTGGCCGACGGGGTGGGCCGATTGTCGCCATAAATCTCTATCTTTTATCTTATCTGTGGAGCTTTATCACGATGAGAATGTTCATTCAGTGATAAGAGGAATGTGATCCACTTGGTCAAGTGTTGCTGGTAACCAATTATCTTGTTCATGGTGGGACAGTCACCATCCATGTCGTCATTGATTAAGGTAGTTGACAATCTGTCAATCTATGTTCAACAGTAGTTACTGTAGAAAGCTCTTAAGGAAGTGACTGACATTGATTAGACTATACAGGCACAGGTAGAGCTACTCAGCAATAACCACCAATATGCGGAGCTTAATATGACAACAACAGAGTATATTTAATAGTAAATGTGGAGAAGTGTTGGTGACCAGAGAATCATAATGACTTTGCTTCGGGAATGGGACATCATTTTCTCAAGAATCTCCAAAAATGCCTCAGTGACTTTCTCAAACTGATCAACAGCGTACCATTGAGGGTCAAACTTGAACTTGACAGTATGTCCCTTCGGCGCCTTGGAAACCTCAAGATGCAGTACATAATCAATGGGCATCTGGACTTTGCTCAGCCCCATCACTATCCCGCGCATGTGTTTCTCCACGAGGTTTGTCGTGGACGCTGGCTGGTCGAAAGGCTGGAACAGGAACAGGGCACGAGAGGCGGATTCATCTCGGTTCTGACCCAGGGACTGGTAGATATCCTTCAGACTGACATTTCCGTGCTCCGTGGTCTTCCAGAACAAAGACTGCGTCAATTTGAGGAGCTCTCAAACCCGCGTTTCGTCGTTGAAAGCACTGCGGAAGGGGAGGAAGTTAGCACAGGTTCCAGCAATGGTTTATGCCTCCTCCAACTCGACGTTGCGCCCAGTGATGAGGTTGTCATACGTGACGTCGGTTCGACCACTGAGGCGACAGAGAAGGAGCGTGAAGGCGGTTTGGAAGACAATTAGCACAGTAACTCCACAGTTGGCAGCGAACAAATCAACCTTGCGGTCTGTTGTTGTCATCGTCAGGGCGGAGGCAAGCGGGTGCTCCACTTTGGGAAAGGGAGCCCCATTATTCTGCAGCAGTTCCTGCCAGAATTTCAGGGATTTCTGACGGTCTGTCAAATGCATGTAGGACACATAGTCATGGAAGCTGACGGTCTCAGGCACGGGCTGCTTCCTGAAAAGGCCCTTGAATTCATCATCGAAGATACAAAGCAGTGTGCCGTCGTACATCGCGTGGTTGATCTTAATGAGAAGGTCCCGGCTCCCGTCAGGGAGGATGAGTAAACGGTAACAGATGAAAGGCATGCTAATCTCAAACCTCATGTCCCAGGTTTTGTTGATCCTCTCCTGTTTGTCATCTTCTGAGCTGCAGTGAATGACCTCAAGGTCAAGAACAGGCTTGGTGAGTATAATATGCAGCCAGGCACCGTCCACCTTAAGCTACATGGACCACAGGACCTCATTCCGTGCCGTGAGTTCCACCATGACTTAGACCCATTGATCAAAATCAATCACGTCCGGGAGAGGTTGAACAGTCTGACACTGCCAGAATTACGCTGCCTTTACGCCACAGACCAGGAAGTCCTCTACTCCAGGGACCGCCGGGTAGATGGTCTCAATATCAGACGCATGAATACCAGCTTTGGCGAGAGTCACATAAACGTCGTCTAAAACAGCAACAGACAACCTCTTGATCTTGGTCAGAGCTTTGTTCACGGGCCTCATGTGAGTGGCCATCTCCTGCAGCAGAGGAAAAGCAAGCACATCGCTGACCGCGAGTACATACCCCTGAGCCTTGCATTTGCTGACCAGGTTGATCACCGAGATGGAGTCACCGCCATGCGCAAAGAACGTGCTCATGACGCCGATGTCACTGGGTTCCTTGTGGAACAAGAGAGCCCAGAGACTCTGCAGAACAACCTCCTCTTCCATGACCGGGTTGACAAACTCGCCTTCTGCATCCACATTTGAATACTGTTGCAATTCGTTGCCATCCATGGCATTCACCCATTCCAGAAGCTTCTTACGATTGGTCTTTCCAGACGGAAGAAGAGGCAGTGTGCCGATGGGAATCCAGATAGTTGGCACCATGTATGGGGGTAAAGACGTCAGGCTGATGCTCACGGTGGTGAGCGTCTTGAAGTATTCCTCCGCGGGTAGGATTCCGTTGGCATTTTCCAGATCAACTACGCAGAAGGCCACCAGCTGCGCCTTTTTTTGTATCTCGATCACGCTGGCGATGGCATGCTGGACTTTGTTGGTCTTCAGAATGGCACTCTCAATTTCACCGAGCTCGATGCGATGCCCGTTGACTTTGACCTGATTGTCCTTCCGTCCAAAGCACTCAACGCGTCTGTCCGGGAGCCAGCGGGCGAGGTCACCGGTTCGATAGACACTTTCTGACCCTCGCATGACGAAAGCCTTCTCAGTCGTCTCTGGCCGGTTCAAGTAGCCACGTGCGAGTTGGGGACCACTGAGACAGAGCTCCCCAACTGCTCCGTACGGTGCGAGCTTGAGGCTATCCGGCTCCAGAATCATGGAGTTGCAATTCTTGAGAGGATGACCGATCACCTCAGCGTTTCCACCGTACTTGAAATAGCCAGCCGTCGCGAGGATTGATGCTTCTGTTGGTCCGTAACAGTTCATGACCTCGCAGCAAGGGGTCCAGGTTTCCACGAGATCGGGAGTCACCGGCTCTCCCGCCAAGTATAGAAGGCTCGCGTATTGGCTTTAGATGGTCTGATGGTGGCTTGCGCAGGTGCCCTTTCACTATCCGAAGACCAGACTGATTGCCAGCAAATTATGGGATGTTGGATGAAAGTAAGCTGACCTTCTACGAGACTTCTCACGGAGAGGTAAAAACCAAATCCCAATGATAACAATGGCTAAAGAAGAAAGTATGGCTTAAGTACAATAAAACAAGTAAGCTTCATCTAATTGTCCCTTGCGGCTGTCAGCAAGCTATGTGTGAATCAGCATTTCTGTCCAATTTTTGTCGTAGTATAACGCAAACTCACCAGGCATTCAGCAAATCCGACGACAATTTCTTCTTCCTCGCGTAGTGACCGCCTTTCATCGTCAGAGATTTCCCCTTCGTCATATGTCTCCGCTCTGTCAAAATCTATCCAAACGACTCTTTCAGGATTATTTCTAACTACCATCATGTTCCTTGGCTTCGGGTCCCTGTGTCTCACCAGAGCACGATGTATCTCTTGGACGCCAGTGATCAGGTTATTTAGGCGTTTTTCCGTGCAGTTGTGGATGTTGATCATCTCCAGATCTGGAATATAATCGAGAAAGATAGCGCTCGGGAGATGCTCATCATAGAGAAATGAATTTAAGTGAGGTTGGCAAAGGTGCGGATCAAACTTCCGCAGGGATCCCAGAAAGTTTGGCACAAGTCCGCTATCGCATAATCCGTGCTCTTTCAGGCGGCGGTAGGCGGAGCATTCGAGGACGTGAATGTCAAGTTCACGGCCTTCAGGTTCATAATAGCGTCTGGGTCCCCTTCCATGATGCTGTAGGTATGTTAGTAGGCTTGTCAATTGGTACGCTCCGTCGATGAGGCTTACCACTTTCATGACGCATTTGTGTCCACGAACCACGATGAGAAAGATGGCCGCATACTTAGAGGCATGTAGCTTGCTTTTAAAGAGTATCTCGGTCGGCACCACATTTTCAAACGCCATATTGCACTTCAGGGCGCGGAAAGAGTTGGAAGGGTGAAGCAAGTTAGTGTAATGGGGAAGAAGAGGCGATCACCGAGTTGGTTGGTTTATAACTTCACGTGATCTACAGGATACAACAAATCTACTCATCCCCCTTGACTTGCCAGCATATAGGGAAATCGAGATCAGCGGAACAATGAAAGAGGGTATGTGTAGTATCATTACATGTGTTCGTGTCTTACTGGAGGATTTGCTTTTTCCCTTTCAACCTTTTCTCCTGCACTAGCCGCGACATCAATGTATAAAATGGGCATACCCCTCGCGGAATGTCTGAAATTGTAGTTCACGAAATCAGTCAAGACACGAACACCAAAACTATTTCAAATGGCTATCCAAGTATCACTGTTTTTGTACTTGCAAGCTGCACCACCTGTTGTTCCTGCCTCTCCTCCCTCCAACCCAAGCCGTAACACCACCAACACGGCTTATGGAGCAGATGACATCCGCAGCACAACGGTCTGGCGCGGATTTGACCTTCAGACTATCCTCCAAAGATATCAGGCGCTTCTGGTGCAAGTGCACCTCCCAGCAGACCCTATGCCAATTTCCCCGTCGCGAGCAGTTCCAACCGAGACCGCTCTCAGAGAGAAGCTTGGAGAATACGTGTATCCAAGAGTCCGACGGGCTCTTCCAGGCCGCATTTCAACATCTCGCAACAGTTGGACAAACGAATGGGTCCACGGCCCTTAAATTTGGATCAGGAGATTTCACAAAGGTTATTAATAGCTTCCGGCCCGACACTGCCTACTTTGTGTCTACACTTCCATCCGCTACTGGTCCGAATCATGCTCCTGGGGATATCAAACCATCCTGGAAATGGAGTACTGCTATGGCATTCCAGGGTATCATGCTGAATATCACCAAGCGCTCAGCTAGGTAAATTTTTACATGAAGCAGCATCACTCCAGATATAGGTTTATCCTCACTGATCATGAGCTGGTCGTGTTTCAATGGAGGGATAATAATGGGAACCTGGAGCTTGTTTCTCCAATTCCATTCACCACAGGAGGAACAGCTCACCAACCACAACTCACTATTTTTATAGCTTTGTGGTATCTCAGCATGCTAGCTGCTCAAGACCAGGGAGTTGATCATTGGTATCTGTAACAAGAGTGGGGAAATGGATGCAAAAGAAGTGGAGGCAAGCTGTCAATCAATCAATCAATCAATCAATCAAGATTCTATTAACCTGATGTAGCCTATCTATTAAAGTAATTAGCTATGCAGGTGCTTTGCTAATGAAGCAGGAATCTAGTATCTAAATGCCTAAAGCCTATAATTAATCCATAAATATAGGAGAGACATAAGAAATTAGTATATAGCTATATTAGAAGTAGAAAATAACTAAAGTAGCCTACCACCAGGCTATATACCTTCCCTATACTATCTTAGTATATTAAATACCTATCCCACCTTATTCTATATAGTTATTCTGAGCATACTATAATTCTATACCTAGGAAGATCCTTCCTAGGTAGCTATTTAGTAGTCCATCTAACTATTATCTTCTATATCTATTCTAAAGCCTTGCAGGAGGCTTCTATATTCCTAGTCCTACTCTATTAGTTCTATTAGTTCTATTATCTTAGTATAGTAAAACTGGCTAAGCAGGCCTGTTTAGTGTATAAATTTAGTAATATAGTAGATCACCTATAGGTTAGATATAAGTATATTATAGTCTAATAGTTTCCCCTAGATTCCCTCTATATCTTATAGCTTAGTAATCATCTTCCTACAGGCTTCTATATATAGTAAATACTATAGGAGAATATACTTAGAGGTCTAGGACCCTTCTCTATAGCTATACTAGTCTAAGTTATAGGCCTTAATCTTAGAGAGAAAGTATTATAGACTAATCTATATAGTCTATATCTAGATAATAATTAATATATATAGCTTTAGTAGGCCTTTATAGAGCCCTAGATTCTTCTTATAGAGAGCCTTAATTAGCTACTATATTAGCTTAGCCCTCTTCTCTATCTTCTACTATTTCTTCTAGCATTACTAGGTTTATTAGTAGATAGCCTATTTAGCTACTATAGTAAGCTAGATAATTAATTATTTTAGTTACTTTATTAAACTTATTTTAACTTCCTCTTATATAGTAGCCTTCTTTACTATCTTATCTATAGCCTTATTCCCTACCACACCTATATAGGCAGGGATCTAGTATATCTTTATATTATCTAGAGATAGTCTATATACCCCTAGGGCCCTTACTTCCTTATATATATTATCTAAAATATATTAGCTAGAGGGGCAGTATAGGTTCTGTACTATCTAGATAGTAGTCTAGCTATTAGTAAAGATAATAAGTAAGTATAGGCTTAATACTATAGTAGTAGTAATATATAGTGCTATATAGATTCTATCTAGTTTAGTAGTATAGATAGTTAAGTCTATCTCTATACCTAGATAGTTCTAGTAGATCTATTAGTTATAGGGGTAGATAGCTAAGGCACCTATATAGCTCTAGTAGCTACTACTATTAGTATAGATAACTAAGTACTAGTTATTAACCTCTTTATATATCTTATTATAGGTTATTAGTATAGCTTTATAGTCTATAATTATATAATAGAGGGGTGGCTCCTACAGGAGAAGTATATATACTTTCTATATTTCCTATTCTTCTAGATATCTTAGGGTAGGGGCTAGTAGGCTACCCCTCTTTCTAAGTTCCTCTAGTAGAGTAAGGCTACTCTACTATATCTCCCTAGTTAATTATAGCTTCTCTATAAGTCCTTATAGGTATGTAAAATATGGCCCTATTTAGATTTAAATAGTGGTTTTCTTAATAATTTATTATATCTATAGGTAGATTAGTAATAGATATAATTCTATATCAAGTATAGCTATAGTAGTTCCCTAGAAGGCACTATTAATTAGTATAGTAGTATACTTCTAGATCTTAGTAAATTTATTAATAATCTTAGTCTATTTCCCTACTAGAATTAGCCTGCTAGTAGGGCTAAACTATACTATAACTCTATATAGTAGTTATAGGATGACTATACTATAATAGATTATATATATAGCCTCTAGTAAAGTACCCTAGATTAATCTAGTAATGTTTTATAGCACCTCTAGGCTACTATTTATATAGTTAATCACCTTAGTACAGTGGGTATTAAAGGAAAGGGTTTTATTAAGCTAGATACTAAGGTATCTAGCTAATTTAATAGGTTAAATAGTAGTTTCCCTATAGTAGATAGATATTTAATTATAGCCTTTATATTTACCTAGTTCTTAGATATTAATAGGGCCTCTTAGAGTCAGTTAATAAGAGGTATTAGGTTCCTTTAGATTAGTAAAATAGATTAATTTAAATTTATTAGGGGTGAATCTAGTAGTATACCTACTAGCCTAGTAGTCTGCCTTCTCTAGGCACTTCTCTAGGACTGTGACATTCTAGGTATAGATCTAGCTAATAGTAAGTATACAGGAGTTATCTATCTAGCTAATAAATATTATTTTTATACTACTAACCTGATTAAATAGCATTTAGATTAATAGGGTATTAAAGATTAAGAAAAGGATTAATAAGAGGGGACTGCCCTGCAGGATCCCTATTAGGGTTATAAACTATTTACTTAGGAACCCTAGCAGCTGCAGGCTAGTATAGTAGTTTAATAGGAAGGATTATAACTAGTTAGTAATCCCATCTAGCTACATAGTTTAGATATTATATAGTAGATACTAGAGGGAGATATTATTAAAGATACTAGAGATATCTAGTAATAGTATACTAACTTTCTAGCTATATCCCTACATATAGTAGATTATATTAATAATTAGTTAGATAGTATAGTTAATAGAGATACCTTTCTAGCTACCTAGGTGGCCTATTAGGAGCAAGCTATATTCCTCTAGTGCCTAGGAGAATAGATTATAATTATTAACTCTAGGACCTTGCCTAGGGTATTAAGTAGGGTAATAGGATAGTAAGACTTTAGGAGGTAGAAATCTTAGGGGGCTACCTTATAGAGAATAACTATAGTAGATACCTAGAAGTGTTAGGGATTGTAGCTAATATAGATATAGGTATTAAATAAGGTTTTAAGTACTTAGATAAAGACTAGAACTATAGTCAGGGCATGCTAGACCTTATTAGAAATAGTATCTAGCCTAGAGTTGTATTTGGTGTGAGTTCAGGTAAGTTCAAAACCAGTTGGCACTAAACTACTGTAATTTCAAGTTCAAATTTTAGAACCCACAGCTAACCCAGATCTGATCTGGGTTGGTGGTGGTTTCACTACAAAAACCTACTACTAGGCCTAGCTAGGCCTAGCTAGGCCCCTACTAACTAACCATGGTTAGATTTAGTTTAATTTTAAGTTGGTTAAACCACTACCCCTTAGTGAATTTTGATAGTTTTTGAATTTCAATGCCTCATTGAATACTATATTATCTATTATAATATCACTATGCTAATCAAAAATTATTATTTTTATATGAAATATATTATAATTATCATCATACTAATCTATATCTAAAATTTTAATTCAATATCTATAGGGCTGAATGGGGGGTGGTTAAAAATGATTTTTTAACCATRGTGGTTRTYARCTATTAGTTRYATATATATATATATATCCACACCACTTTCATACCACCCCATGATGAAAATGATTATTCCTCTATATCTCAGCAACCACTAGGTATTGTAAATTAATATTTCTATCATTAGATAGCCTAGATCAGGGGCTATCTAATGATATTAAAAATATTAGAAGATCCCTAGAAATGACTGATATCTAGGTAAAACAGATTGGGCAGTTTCACCTAATCCGCAAAAACTGCAAAAACCATAACCAATGGTTTCCCCTAATGGATTCAATTTGGTGCCAAGAGAAATTAAAACTGGTGCGGTTCCCTAGGCTAGGCACTAAACCTAAACCACTCTGGGTTTAGTGAGGTTTGGGTTCGATTTTTGCGGTTTGGTTATGCAACTCTAATTATTATACCTTTAGATTATATTAGATCCTAGTTAGATCATTACATCACGTGTTACTATATACCTAGGTTGATATATAGAAGGCTACCACAGAGGGTAGGCCTTAGGTAAGTATTAGATATAGTCTAGGGACTATATCACCCTATTCCTAAAGTAGTTAACTAGCAGAGAATAGCAGAGATAGATCCTAGGGTATAATAAATTAAATACTATATAGTATAAATTGCTTTAGGAAGTTTAACTAACTCTTAATATTAAATATTATAGTAGGAAACACACCACAGACCCTAACTAGCTTAAATATTAGAGAGGCAGGGACTTAATAGCCTTAGGTTATAATAAAAGATCTAATAGGCATGGTTAGCTATAGAGGAAAATCATGGTAAGTATTAACACCCAAAATAGTAATATAGCAGAATGTCTTTTCCTCTACTAATAGTATAGAGCCTAAGATTTCTAAAACTTCTTTCCTTTTATTTTTATTTATTTTTATTAATTTTATATCATGGTTATAAAGTTAGGATTATTATTAGTAGGGAGTAGGGATATAGTAATTATTAGACCTTAATATAAATTATTAGTCTACTAAAAGTCCTAAATACTAGTAAACTTCCTTAAACTATAGCTAAATCTAATAATACTTTAATAGAAGCTTTATAATAGTATTTCTAAATCTTCTAAGCTTCTTTAAATACTATTTAAGTATAAATAGTACTATTAGGTTAGTTCTTAATTATTAGACCCTAATATAAATTATTAGTCTACTAATACTAAATATACTAAAACTTACTTAAAGTATAGTTAAATCTAATAATACTTTAAGAAATACTTTAGAATAGTATTCTAAATCCTCTAGCCTATTTTAAATATTACTTAAGAGCCCTATAGTATTAAAACTATTAGCTAGAGTCCTATAGTTAGTA